GATCCTTCTGAGCTTCCCAAGTGGAATTATGATGGATCAAGTACTGGACAAGCTCCTGGTGAAGACAGTGAAGTAATCTTATAGTAAGATCTTCAGCACAAAACCACGTTCATGGTTGTTTCTCTTCATTGTTACAACAGGAACTTGATATAACTTCTATTTTCCAGCCCTCAGGCGATATTTAAGGACCCTTTCCGTGGTGGCAACAATATTCTGGTAGGTATCATATATAAATGTTTGTACCATGCTGTCCAGTGAATTTAATCATATAAAACTTAACTGACATCATTCTATGTGCTATGCAAAGGTAATTTGCGATGCATACACACCGCAAGGCGAGCCTATCCCAACAAACAAGCGCGCCAGGGCTGCTGAGATTTTCAAGAACAAGAAGGTTATAGACGAAGTCCCATGGTAATTTCTCCTTTGATAATTTTGTCTTAGTTTTAAGTTGTGTGTGTGTGTGTGCCTGCCTGCGTGTCTGGTAGATGATTAGGACTGGAATTATAGTTTTCATCTCTCTGTATTGATGCATAGTGATTAACAGCGTTGTCAAGTTTATGTAAATAAATGTGTCAAGTATGTGTTACACTACGATTACATATTTGGATTCGAGAATCTACTAATCTTGACCATTATTTTCAGGTATGGGATTGAGCAAGAGTACACATTACTCCAAACTGATGTGAAATGGCCTTTGGGTTGGCCAGTTGGAGGTTATCCTGGTCCTCAGGTTGTAATTCTGTTTGCAAGTATCTATCAGTTCAGCCAAAATAGTTTCATTTCTAGTAATTAAAGTCTGTGTTATAAAATCTTTCGCCATCAATAAGCATCGGGTAATAATGCATCTATTTATCGCAGGGTCCTTACTACTGTGGTGCTGGTGCAGACAAGTCATTCGGACGTGACATATCAGATGCTCACTACAAGGCTTGCCTATATGCCGGAATTAACATCAGTGGCACCAATGGGGAGGTTATGCCTGGCCAGGTTCTCCTGTTCCCCTTCTCTATCTCGTCCTGTTTCGAAATTCAAGTACGGTAGTTACCTTGCTTCATCCATCAGTAACAATTATCGGTATTATCATGTAGTGGGAGTATCAAGTTGGTCCGAGTGTGGGAATTGAAGCAGGAGATCATATCTGGGCTTCAAGATACATTCTTGAGGTAACTCATCCGATCATAACTTGGCGGCAGTTTTGCAAATGAATGGTATCATTGAACTAGTGTTGGTGTGTCGATGCGTCCTATGATTTACTAAACATTATCTTTCCCTACCCCGGCAGAGAATCACTGAACAAGCTGGTGTTGTTCTCACACTTGATCCAAAACCTATAGAGGTAAATAGTTTTTACCATATGTCGATATTTTCAGTAAATATGTGCAGATGAAAGAACTTGTCTCCTATTTTGCATTGATAGGGTGACTGGAACGGTGCAGGATGCCACACCAATTACAGGTACTTGGACGATATAACATTGATGAAATGGACAATATAGTTGTACAATTGGATAGTATGCTAATAATGTATCGAATAATCATTGCTTTCACAGTACAAAGAGCATGAGAGAAGACGGAGGCTTTGAAGTTATTAAGAAGGCAATTTTGAATCTGTCACTTCGCCATGGTGAGCACATTAGTGCCTACGGAGAAGGAAATGAGAGAAGGTTGACAGGAAAGCATGAAACAGCCAGCATTAACACATTTTCTTGGGTATGCCTCAAATTGTTAGCTGTTGGTATTGAACTTTAATCAATGGGGCAACGGAAGTTCCCGTCATATATTTATTACTAAATAACGCTTCACTTGGATTTGTAGGGAGTGGCTAATCGTGGTTGCTCAATCCGTGTTGGTCGTGAAACTGAGAAGCAAGGAAAAGGTACTACTACCAGTTTCAGTATTACTATCTAAAGCTGTGGTTAAATGTTAAATATGTTTCAGTGTCGTCTTTTTTTTTGTATGCTTCACCAGTATACTCCCGGCGTTTACTTTCTGATATGTCACTTTTATAAACGACCTGCACCACTGAACCTTTCGATGTTGCTTGCTCTTGTATTAGGTTATCTGGAGGATCGTCGTCCAGCTTCAAACATGGACCCTTACATTGTGACCTCACTACTGGCAGAAACTACATTGTTGTGGGAGCCAACCCTTGAGGCTGAAGCTCTTGCAGCTCAAAAGCTTTCATTGAATGTCTGAAACCAATTCAAAGATAATCCACTGGGGCTTCAAATGCTGTCAATTGGGACAAAACAGCCAAATGTGGGAAGCATTTTCCCTCACCTTTTAAATCCTTTTGAGAAGATCCTTTGTAAATAAAGGTCCCATTGTCAGTGTTTGTTCATGATTCATCTCATGCTCAACTTTGTAGAATATTTTCTCGTATCAAAGAAATTAATCGTGTAGATCGGAGAGCCTTAATTGAATCATTTGACAGTTCATTGGATCATTTACTTATCATATGAGCTCTGGCTTTTGCATAAGAAATGAAGCTTGGAACTGAGTCGAAGTGTTCCTTCTCGTTCAAGTCTTCCGTTAGCTTCAAATCTTCCGTTCCCTACAAAATTCACCAAAATCTGAAAACACTATGTTCATCTACTTTTATAGTCACACATAGACAGCTAGTTCTTCATTAGATTCTGGTACAAGTGAGCTTTCAATGAACGATTTCAGATCATGGGATACATTTTGTAAAGGGTCCAGACGCGTGGTTAGCGACGTACGAACTTATTAACTGGTTAACGCTCAAGCCCTACTGTATACAATAACGCTCATTTCTTTTGCGAAAAAATAATCATTAAACAGAGAAAAGAAAAACTTTGTTCTTTAATTTTGTGTGCTTAGCAGGGAAACTTTATTCCACCAAAAAATAAAATAAAAAAAGCCAAGAAATTCTTTGCCCCTTCCCTGAGGCAATCCCCATGAAGGGAAAGAATGTGAGCCATTTCTTTGAATTAAAGACAACAATTTAATATCCAGAATATATAGTTCTGTAAGCTAAGCTCAATAAGCGTGACAGTATTTAGTCCTTCTCTTTCCATCTCCCCAAACAAATTCAAAGGCCATGGCTTCCGGAGGGTCAAAATCTGCAGCATCAATTCTCCTAGTTGTTAATCTTATTCTCTATTTCATTGTCGTTGTCATTGCTTCTTGGGCTGTCAACCATGGAATCCAAAGATCTCGCGAAACTGGTAATTATCGATTTGCATAGTCCTTCAATTACGAGAAATCTTCTGGTGTGACCATCATCACAGTGTCATGTGATTGAATTGTGGCGGTCACACCAAACAATTTCTCGTCAATTACAACTTAGCTGTGGTAATTAACAACAATTAATGTGCTTGCATATGCAGCATCTGTTCTGTCAATTCCAGCTCGGATATTTCCAATATATTTTCCATTTGGGAATTTGGCAACTGGGTTTTTTGTGATCTTCTCCCTCATTGCTGGAGTTGTTGGATTTGGGACCTCACTCACCGGACTCCACAACGTTTTTCAATGGAACAGTCCCAGCTTGCACACAGCTGCTGCCTCTTCTCTTGCTACTTGGTCACTCACCCTTCTTGCCATGGGGTGAACATTTCTGCTGGCCTTGTGTTTTTTTTCCTTCGTAATTTAGAAAAAGCACCCTGACAACGATAAATTTTATATAAAAGCATTTTAAGAGCTCAATTCGAGGGGAAAAAACCGTTTTTCCATCTACTTGTCATTCTTCTAAAGTGTAATATTATCAAATGCTTAATTGCGAATTTCGTCTCCACCTTTGCTGTTTCAGATTGGCTTGTAAAGAGATTGGACTTGGTTGGACAGATGCCAACATGGTAAGTTGCTGCTTTTATTTTTGAAACATAAACCAATGGGAGGGTCATTGTTGTATTTGGCGAGAAAAACTTCCCTATCACCGATTTGTATAAAGAGTCACATGAATTAACTCTTTCACTATGTGACTCTCGTGTAATAACAGGTATAGATACAACCGGTTGCACTTAGACCTAAGCTTTTCTTGTACTAGGCACACCACAATTAGTACTAGCAGCCTTTCTGCATGAAATAGATGCTTATACTTTGTCCTTTCGCACACAACCCTCACCCACCAGTCGTCACATGATTAATAATCGTGAAAAGAAAGTTGTATACATAATACATTCGTCACACGTAAGAATTTTCGGGGGGGGTCGTATAGGGAAGGAGCAAAGAGTAGTAGTTCTTAATGTTTTATTGCATAAAGACATGAATCTTAATTACATGACTAATCATGGTGTTATGTATTGGATTAACAGCGTACTTTGGAGGTCATAACAATAATTGTGAGTGCAACACAAATGTTTTCCACGTGTGTCATTCATGCTGGGGTTGAAGATGCTATTGCTCAAGAAAGAGGACGCAACGAAAGAGTTTAAAGTACTTGTATAAAAAAATTTACTACAAGCGAGATTTTACATTAAATTTATCTAAATCATAAGAGATAAATTTTAATTTGCGCGCAAAATAAGAAGCATATGTATGAATGAATTACGCATTTTCGATACGAATGTTTGTTCATAGTATCACTGTATGTATTGATTTCTACACTACTTTTCTTCATTTGTCGTGTTTAATTTTTGTTTATTAATTTCTTTATTTTTTGTCTTCATTTGCGTATTTTTTGTACGGTGCAATTTTTATTTTCGATATTTACGTTGGTTTTTGGATTGCTTCTTTTGGCCATCCATTGTATTATCGCATGATGTTGCGATGCTTTTTCGACTCCATACAGGCTGCCTCGTTCTAAGTATTCATAAACCAAGAAAATGTAACTTGTCCTCGATCAAAATCCATATATCCTTATGATGTTGCGACGTCGGATATTTGTCAAAGTTCGGATTTCATTCTCAAAACTTGGGAGATTGATTGCTGAAATATCAGTAAAATCTTCAGTGTTATGTTGACACATTGAGTGTGATACCAATAATATAAGAATCAAACTTCTGAAGTGGGCCGGAAAATATGAGTGCTACGAGATTGATTCTTATTTTTAATTCAATAGATTGAACTCATGAATATAATGTATATACAAGAGAGAGAAAAGAGATGACCGATCATAAAACAATCAATACAAACACCAAACTTTGACGGCAAACTAGTGCCATTTCCCAACTATTGCTTAGAAATTAGACCCCATTTCTCACCTGCACAAGTAACTGGAAAATAATGACAACCAAATATTTACATGACTGATACATATCAACAGCAAATTATAAAAGGCAAATCAATGGTCCTTCTGTTACATAACCTAGACCGATTGTCAAAAAAAGGACTAGCTACTTATGCAGCTCGAAAACTTCAAAATCTATCCATACAAACTATCAGAGATGACTGAATCTTGTTCCCCACACACTTACCTCTGCCAACAAAGTCTTCGTCCGCCCTCTCTCATTATTTCGTAGGCGAGCTTGTGCTTTTCAAGAGATGTTGCCCCAGCCTCTATGTATTTACAGGCTGCTTCTCTCAAACTCCACACCATCAAGGCCTTCAGCTCTTGAGGGTTTCCACCCAATTCAGATTCACAAGGAATACCATATTCAGCGTTTCTAGTCCAACGGCGCAAGATATAGCAAGGGGGAACTTCTTTTATGTCCAAGATTTGGAAAACTCTCAACACATGCCTACATAGTATACCTTCAAATTCAAACATTCGACAGCTACAGCCCACTTCGGGAATGGCCGCACCAACCGTGACTATAGATTTCTCATCGTCATTCCCGCACTTGCGGACCAAATACCTGATGATTGCCCCTTCATCATAAATCTTAAATCCTAGATAACTATAGGATTGTAGAAGTTCTTTCTGAAATACCCTGAATGTGTTCAGTGTATAAAGTCTTCTACATTGTTCTTCTAATGGTTCTTTCGTCTGCAAGTAGGCTTTCAAGTTAAAAGAGTTAAAATCCTCTTTTATTTCTTCTTCACGCCGTCCCTCAAGGCCTCTTTCATATTGTGAAACAAACTCCTTAAGTGGTGTTTGGGCATTGAAATGTGCACCAAAGAATGATTCTATACTTTCATTAAAGGGGATGCCAGCAAAGAATGTAGCTCGTAAGTATAATGGAACCCAACTCCTGCGCTTTTCGTACATTGCTTTCAGCCAAGCGTTATCTTTCAACCCATACCTGCTGAGGAGTGCATTCCATGCGGTTTCAAATTCATCGGCTGTTTGACACTGATAAATGCATTTTTCATATTCATATTTAAAAGAACCATTCATTACGCTTAGATGCTCACTTTCTTTTGCCTTGATCTGCCATAACGAGAAACGATGATGGGTTCCTGGAAAAACTTGCATGATGGCTTGCTGGATCACATCATCTTGGTCAGCTATTATTGACAGAGGACGACACCCTGACATTGCCCTAAGCCATGTTTGAAACAACCAAGTAAAAGATTTCTCAGACTCATCAGCAACTAGGGCACAGCCAAGAAGCACCGGTTGCTTGTGGTGGTTGATTCCAATGAAAGCGGCAAATGGCACCAGATAAATACTTTTCCGATATGAGGTGTCGAAAATAATGGCATCACCAAACTGGCTGCATGAAAACCTAGACCTCCCATCAGCCCAGAAAATACTCATGCAATTACCATTATCAACTTCTACTGCATAAAAGAATCCTGTATCTTCGGCCTGTTTGGTTTGGAAAAAGTCAAACAGCACACTGTACCAATCACTTCCAATGTGATTTTCTCTATGTCTTTTGACAAGGTTACCATTGTTTATGTCAACAATATCTTCAATCTCCAGCCCTCCGATCTCCTCTTCTATGAACTTTTTTGAAGAGAATAGATTTTTCTTTTGAACTTCCAGGTGAGACTCAAACTCATGGTTATGATTTTTATCAAAACGGTCCACTACCCATCTTCCAGAATCTTGTCTCTTAATCCTCATATATGCCCCACAACCAACTCGTGATGGATGCTGAAACCCTTCCTTTGAACACACAAATCTCCGAGATGTAATTGACCCATCAAGCTTTGAACGAAACAATTGACCAATCCTGATTCTAAATCCTGTATTCTCAGCATATGCATGATAAAATTGGTATGCTTCATTGGCTGAATTGAACTCCAGACCTGCAGATAGATCAACTTCTGACTGCATTTCATCTCCACCCCGTTTTAAGCGCTTGGCAGTTATAACTCCAGATGGGCAAGGTGGTTTATCCTCAATTGCCTTAATCAATTTGACTTTTGGCCTATGAGACACTTCAACAACCGAATTTGTTGGCATTGAACTCTTCTTCTGAAAAATCGGGGAACGATTTTCCTCTGTAGATGATCCAAGACCATGATTGTGATCCTTCAGGAAAAGGTCTACAACCCATTTCCCAGAATCACGTCTCTGCACCCTTATTAATGCCGGGCATCCTGTCCGTGAACTAATCTGAAACCCCTCCTTAGAGCACACAAATCTTCGAGAAGAGACTGACCCATCAGTTCTCGAGCGATACAACTGACCAGTTCGAACTTTGAACCCCATCCGTGCTGCATAGAGAGTGTAAAAATCACGGGCAACATCTGCTGAATCAAACTCTAACCCCACATACGGTTCAAGTACTCCAGACTCTCCCTCATCCTCTGTATCGACAGCATTCATCGGAGGCATCATTCCTAAAGGGTACGCCTCGATAACTAAGTTGTTCCCACTGTCTTCAATCTTAGAACCGGTATCTAAGCTGCGTCACAAGAAATAAAAACGACATAAAAAATCACAACTACATTAGCCACAGCAACTTGATTAACAGTCTGAAACAACATTAGCCGATCCTCAAAAGCAAACTTTATGCAAAAACTAATCTATTTACACGTTCAGCAACTCAGCAGCGCATGAATGTGAATAGTGATTGGCAAAATAATAATATAAAAAACATAATTATCAAATCAATAAAAACAATTTCTCAGCAACCAAACACAGCATTATCCAATTAAATTAAAGAAAAATACTCAATTTCACAGATACAAAATGCACAACAAAGAATTAAGCTTGATTGGGTAAGACAAATCAAATTGGGGAAAAATCAAACTTAGGGTTTAGGTTTCAATTTACCTTCTGATATTTGTGAAGTGGGTGGAGCTGGATTCCATGCCCATTTCTGAAATTAATAACACTACCAGTGGTGAGCGATGATTTCGAAGCTCAAAACGCCATTTGAGGATTTCGTGAGCGTATTTTGGCGGGAAAATAGATTGAGGAAAAAAATCAGAGGGCGCCCTTTCGGAAATCTGACGAATTTGTGAAATGATGAATGGGAAGTGTTTTGGGTTTTGGATCTCTCTGCTCTGGCGTTCGTTTGCTCCTAATTTCAGGGTTTGACCTAATTTGATTGTCATTTGGAGCCCATTTGGGCATCCACAGACATCACCGTCATCCAATTTTTTATTCTGTTTTATTTTTTGGTTTTGGGAATTTGCAAGATCTCTTTGTATTTGTTGTTTTTATTTTTATTTATTTATTTATTATTATTTAAAGAGTTATTACTTTTTCTTTTCAAGGATGAGTAATATTAGAGAGATTAAATTTTTTAAACCAAATTTACAAATTAAATAATGTGGTTGTAGATGATTGGATTATTAATTAAGTGTTGATTAACGCGCTTATTTCTTATTAGTAACATATCATTTGGTTTAAAAAATTTAGTTTCCCTAACATTACTGTTTAAAGATTCATTTGCTTTTAGTTTCCATAAAACTCAAAGATAAATGCCTGATCGGATAAACCTAAAATATTTTTTACAAAGTAAACAAACTTTACTCAACTCGCTTATAGCTCAAGTGATTAAAAGCATTCGCTCTTACACTTGAGGTTTCATGTTAAAATAGATGGTTCACTTACTATTCGTGTTAATATAGGATGTGGTGGTGTATGATGAGTTTCATTTTCTTATTACATAAATGAATCACATATGTTACCAAAAGTGAGAAGAAGACAACTCATTCTATCTATACTACTCGTTAATAGAACACTCTTTGTCAACCGAACTCTAAAAAATTATCATTTTTAACACTCCCACCAAAATTGAACAAAAATAAAAAATTATGGGGGTGAAGCACTATTTTAGTGTGGGACGTGAGAGCGTACCAAATTGAGGCAAACTCTGAATACTATATATGACCTCAAAATGATAGGTGTCAAGATTGGCCAGTGAGACAACGAGGGATAAGCTTCATTGTCAATAAAGAAACAGCTCGGATCACCAACTAAGGCCCCTAAATGACCAGTCAGTTATAAAGGAGGTAGGGGTGCAGAGACAGCCAATAGGTTTGCCTAGAAGCAAGTAGCAACCACCTTTGAAAGAATGCGTAATAGCTCACTGATCTCTTATGTCGAATATGAACGGGGGTGGGCAATCTGCCGAAGCTATAAGATGTAAAAATGCATTAGTAGGGGAGCTTTTCGCCTAGAGGGAAGCATCCGAGCGAGCGGCAGTGGACGAAGTGGAAGCCAAAATGTTGGATTGAGTAACACAAACATTGGTTAGAATCCAATGCCTCGAAAACCTAAGGGTTCCTCTGCAAGGTTCGTTCACGGAGAGTGAGTCAGGGCCTAAGATTAGGCCGAAAGGTGTATCGTCAGATGACCTAGATTCGGTTAGCATCAAACTCATATCTGATAAGATCTTAATCAAATTTAATTTAAGAAATGTAAATATTAAAGGATTAAGTACCTAAAGCCCTCCAACCTTTTAGTGTCATTCCAAAGGGGCGTGAGGGTTTACGGGTTTTCGATGATCGTAAGGATAGAGGCTATGCTCCATATATTGTCATGTATATTACCATGATTCATGGTCTTTGCACAATGGGTTATATTAGGGAAGCAATGAAGTTGTGGTTTGAGATGATTGTGGAGGGATATCATCCAAATGAGTACATATACAGTACAATCATTTTCGGATTTTGTAAGATTGGTAGTTTGGAAGAGGCCAAGATTTTTTACAAGGAGATGTCTGATAAAGGTCGTAATGAAACCACAGTCGGTTGCAATGCAATGATGAGAGGACTATGTTTACATGGAATGACAGATGAGGCCTATAAATTGTTCACTGAAATGCCCCATAAGGGCATTGTTCGTGATTTGATAACATACAACACTCTCTAATCCAAGATTTCTGTAAAGAAGGCAAGATAGTAGAAAGTAGAAATGTATTCCGAGAGCTCCTGACTCAAGGCTTATAGCCATCAACTTACTTATACACCCCACTTATTGAAAAGCTTTGTCAGGTTAGAGTTGTACAAGAAGCACAAAGTCTGTGGAATGATATGAAGAGCAGAGGTTTGGAACCAACTTTCGGTACTTAAGATTATATCCTCATTAAATTAAGTGATCAAGGAGATGCTGCATAGGGAATGGAATGGTTCTTTGACATGTTAACGAGTAAGCTTAAACCAAAGCGAAAAACTTTTGGGCGACTGGTTGAATGTCTTTCACAAGGAGATAGGTTGGATGTTTAGGGTAGATTATACAGTAGAAAAAAATATATTTTATTCTCTGGTCAACAAGCGCGAGAACAACCATTCTGTTGAAACATGTCTAGGGGAGGTCTTTGAAGGAAATTGATGTTTCAAATCATCTTTATATGTTCCTTGTAACTTCTGTAAGTTACTTCTTTTTTACCTGAAACTTGTGTAAGTTACTAATATCAGTAAGTATAAATGCAAAAATGATATGTGCCTTTCTTTCAATTGTTTTACGGATAGTAATCATTTTGTAGCTATTTTGTATGTTTAATGTGTTATGTGTAAAGGTCCACTCTTACGAAATTAGATTATGACTATGAGGCTCTTCCATTTTTAGACGAAAAGACATGAATGAAAGTTATGAAATACTTTGCTTTCTTTGTTTCTAAACTTGATGGTTAATCGATACTTGGAGCTTCAAGGCATCCCAATATACCTCAGTATCATAATATGCTTTGTTTTGAGACAGTGTTGTAGCTCTGGTTACTTTAGTCCCTCTGGTCTGGTGTGTTTTTGGACTTGTATTCTGGGGTTTGGTTGGTTATCTTGCTAAGCACTGGTGTCATTTATGCTTTGTTCTTTTGGTTTGCAAAAACTTTGGCAATGGTGATTGTTGATGCACAAAATCAGTGGAAACTTTGGTACAACAGAAAGTGTTAAGTTTGTGACCTTCGCTAGATTGCTCTGGTCACTAGTGTGGATAAGTATGTAAATGGATAGAGACAGGGAAGCAAACACAAGATGTACGTGGTTCACCCAGATTGGCTACGTCCACGGAGTAGAGGAGTTCTCATTAATTGTGAAGGGTTTACACAAGTACATAGGTTCAAGCTCTCATTTTGTGTGTACTAGTGAATGATTTAGTACAAATGACATTCGGAAATATTGTGAGAGAATGATCTCTATTTATAGAAGAGAGTTTCTAGTTTCATTCTGACATTGACACGTGTCGTGTTGTGATTGGCTTCTGATGTTGACACGTGTCGTGCTATGATTGGCTTATGATGTCGACACATATCGCGCTGTGATTGGCCTCCTGGTTGTAGGGAAACTTTTCTGGGTCCTTGACGGTATAACATTGACCGGTGCTCAATAGTTTCGAGATTGGTCAAGTATGGTACAAACAGTGCTCCCTTAAGTTCCTGAGTGAGGGAAGCTCCTCGGTTGGGGACTTGCAAGATCCAAGCTATTAAGTAATCATGAAATTTCTAAGTATCGAAGTGTGGTATCATTTTCACTTGCCTTATCTGTCTCATATGTAGATGTGGCATCTTCTCTGGAAGTACTTTTCCTCTATCCAGGGGTGATATCTTTAACCGATGAAGATGCATAAGGTAATGTATCAATTTCACTTGAAGCTTACTTGTAGTTTCGGGCTTGGTCAAGTGCAATACAAACCTTATAGTAAGAGTCCCCCAAGTCGCCGAGTTAGGAGATTTGCCGAATGAGGTAACAGATAAGGTAAGCAATCAAACTTCCAGGCAAGCAACCTGGATCAGAGGTTCGACTTCGGCTTCCTGTTGATTGTTCTCATTCTCCTTGTGTCGTAAACAGCAACAATGATAAGGAGAAGCAAATGGAGAAGAGATGATATAAGATACTTTTGCTTTTAAAGAAATAACTTTCCACAAGCTTATTCTTGAACTGCGTTAGAGGGTTTTCTGGTTTCCTCCAGAGTATAAGGCCGACTTAAGAATTTAAGGGTCAAAACAAGTCCATCAAATCTAGAGTACGTTCGACCCTGATGATATGGGATACTTTTGCTGTTGACAAAGTAGTGGATGTATTAGCACGTGTTCTGTTACGCTTGTCTCCACATGCTTCCTTGTATCCTTCTCACTTGCCCTATATGTTCCTCAGGCAGATGTGATATCTTCTCTGGAAGCATAAGATGTTGAAGATGAGTACTCGAGAGCAATGCCAGGTAAGTAATCAAGCAAGGAGTTCCAGGCAGTCAGTTCCTGACTGGAAGCTTGATTCCAAGTGCTGACTGATTGCTCTCTTTCTCCTTGTCTTGTAGTTAAGAACAAGGCCATAGGAAATGACAGGGAAAAAGCATGATATGGGATACTCTTGCTTTTAACCCTGATGATATGAAATACTTTTGCTCTGGTGTGGCTTGTTTGCATAGGTATTATCGGGAGGAAAAGAAGCTGAGTATTTCGAAAGACTCTGCTGAGAGTGCCCTCTCGGATATGAAGAAAAGTTGAGCATTTTTTTTATTTGCAGGTCTGCCTGGCTGTGGAGGATGAAGGTTAACATATATATGATTCTTCCTAACAACAAGTAGTAGTGCTATTCCTTTACCTTTTTTGGTCATAGCAATGTAGTAGGGGCTGCAAGCTTCACGTGTTATAACTTTGTCAGAGCACTTTGAAAAAGTGGTCTGTGGTATCTGGAAAATTGATGTTGTGTGTGAAGATTGCAGACAAGCTTTATCCAAGGAAATCTGGCTCTCGAAGTTTGGAGAGCGGTGCCTCTTTGGTTTTTGAACAAGCAATCCTGTCGGGGATCTGGCTCTCGAGATTCAGAGAACAGTGGCTCTTCGATTTTTGAGAAAGCAATCTTGTTGGGAGTCTGACTTTTGAGATTTGGAGAGCAATGTCTCTTCGATTTTTGAGAAAGTAATCTTGTTGGGAGTCTGGCTCTCGAGATTCAGATAGTAGTGCCTCTTCGATTTTTGAGCAAGTAATCCTGTTGGGAGTCTGGCTCTCGAGATTCGGAGAGATGTGCCTCTTCGATTTTTGAGCAAGCAATCTTGTTGAGAGTGTTTTCTCGAATATGAGTAAAGGTTGGACATTTTTGCCAGTCTGCCTTGCCACGGAGCACAGAGGTTGACACATATAGGGACTTTCCAGTTATCAAGCAGTGGTGCTGTTCATTTACCCTTGTGGGTAATAGTAGGGTAGCTGGACCTTCAAAATTTATGTGTCTA